ATTGGACAGAGAAAACACCTGGACAGTGCTGCTGAACCAGGATCAGGTACTCCAGCAGGTAACTTCTACCTGCCCAGCCTGTGCTCAAGTCAACGCAGGAAAGGTTCATCTAAACAAGGGGGCCCGCCAAAGAGGTCATCGTCCTGGTGTTCATTGGGAAATAGACTTTACAGAAGTAAAACCCGGACTCTACGGGTACCGGTACCTCCTGGTCTTCGTGGACACTTTTTCTGGATGGATCGAGGCATTTCCAACCAAGAATGAGACGGCTAACGTGGCAACAAAGAAACTGTTGGAAGAAATCTTCCCCAGGTATGGGATGCCTCAAATATTGGGGTCGGATAACGGGCCTGCCTTCGTCTCTCAGTAAGTCAGAGGGTGGCCAAACTATTGGGGGTTGATTGGAAACTCCATTGTGCATACCGCCCCCAGAGCTCAGGACAGGTAGAACGAGCTAATAGAACAATCAAGGAGACTTTAACCAAATTAACGCTTGCAACTGGCACTAGAGATTGGGTGCTCCTACTTCCCTTGGCTCTCTACCGAGCCCGAAATACTCCTGGCCCACACGGCCTAACTCCTTTTGAGATCATGTATGGGGCCCCACCTCCTGTTGTAGACTTTCTCCATCCTGATATTTCCTCCTTTGCTACCACCCCTACTTTAGAGGCACATCTTCAAGCCCTCCAACTGGTGCAGAGGGAGATCTGGAAGCCCCTGGCCAAGGCCTATCAGGAGCAGCTAGACAAGCCGGTGGTGCCCCACCCCTTCCAGATCGGGGACTTCGTTTGGGTCCGACGACACCAGACCAAGAATCTGGAACCACGGTGGAAGGGGCCCTACACTGTCTTGCTGACCACCCCCACTGCACTCAAGGTCGACGGGATTGCTGCATGGATCCACGCCTCGCATGTGAAGGCTGCCAGGGAACCCGACCCAGCAGGATCCAGAAAGTCAACATGGACAGTGCGCCGCACACGAAACCCCCTAAAAATAAGGTTGGCCCGCGGCTCCTCTTCCTCCCCCTCCTCTTAATCTCTGCCTACCCCAGGGGACTAGGGCGGCAGAGAGCCCGCACCTAGTTAAGAGGCTCACTTGGCAGGTTATCTCACAAACTGGGGAGACGGTCTGGCAAACGACCGCCCTTCACACCCCCTTCACATGGTGGCCCAACTTGCATCCAGATCTCTGCCAACTAGTAGCAGGGTCAGGGGACTGGGACATCCCTACCACTGACCCCATGAACCCCAGAGCACCAGACGTCTGTCAGGATGGTAAGGGAACTTGCAAATGTAGTGACGGGAGATATGGATGTGGTCACCCTGAAACCAGAGCAGCCCTGTCACAACTATCCTTTTACGTCTGCCCCCGGGATGGTAGGGACAGAAAGATGATTAGACAATGTGGGGGTTATGAAAGTTACTTCTGTAAAGCATGGGGATGTGAAACAACTGGTAATACCTATTGGGAGCCTTCATCCACTTGGGACCTCATTAGGGTAAAAAGGGCTACCCAAAGAGAAAGCCACTCATGGCGTCCTCTTACTCAAGGACGTTGTTGGGGAACTGTCACGTCAGGAAGAGATAACACTTACTGGGAAGGGGGGGGCCCTGTGTAAATTTCACCTGCAACCCCCTGAATATATCTTTTACTCAAAAGGGAAGGGAGATAACACAAGACTGGATTAAAGGTAGAACATGGGGACTTAGACTTTACATGACGGGATGGGACCAGGGAGTCGTGTTTACGATTAGGCTTAAAATCACGGAGCCCTCCGCCTCTATAGGTCCCAACCAGGTTCTCTCTGACCAAAAGCACCCCTCTTTACCCGCTCCGGCACCCCCGAGGGCTACCCCCCGACCCAATTCGGCCATTCGCCCAAGCACGGCTCCGAATGCCACTATAACCCCAGTCACCCTCCAGCCACCCAGGCCCGGTACGGGAGACCGGCTATTGAATCTTATAGAGGGCGCTTACTCAGCCCTCAATGTTACCAACCCAAATCAGACTCAGGAATGCTGGTTATGCCTAGTCTCCACACCCCCCTATTATGAGGGGGTGGCCGTAGTCGGAAGCTTCACCAATTCTTCTTCACCCCCGTCAGGATGTGCCTCGACACCTCAGCATAAGCTCACAATCTCCGAGGTGTCAGGACAAGGACTATGTCTGGGGATAGTACCCTACACCCACCAACACCTGTGTAATCGCACCCAGGCACTTGTTCCAGGACCCCACTATCTCGTGGCTCCCAACGGGACTTATTGGGCCTGTAGCACTGGACTTACACCATGCCTCTCCTCCTCAATACTAGCCAACACGGCCGATTATTGTGTGCTCATAGAACTGTACCCCAAGATAGTCTACCATGCACCTGAAGATATCTATGCCCGATATGAGACAGGGGTCCCCCGTATAAAAAGAGAGCCAGTCTCGCTAACCCTGGCCCTGATACTAGGTGGATTAACTATGGGAGGAGTCGCTGCCGGAATAGGCACAGGTACCACTGCCCTCATGGAAACCAACCAGTTCAGACAACTCCAGGTTGCCATGCACACCGATATCCAGGCACTGGAGGAATCCGTGAGTGCCTTGGAAAAGTCACTCACCTCCCTGTCTGAAGTAGTTCTGCAGAACCGGAGGGGATTAGACCTCCTCTTCCTGCAGGAGGGGGGGTTATGTGCCGCCCTTAAAGAAGAATGTTGCTTCTATGCGGATCATACTGGGGTGGTGAGAGATAGCATGGCTAGATTAAGAAAAAGATTAGAACAAAGACAAAAACTCTTTGAAGAACAGCAGGGATGGTTTGAAGGATGGTTCAGAAGGTCCCCCTGGCTCACCACCCTCATCTCCACCCTTTTGGGACCCCTTCTGATTTTATTGCTCCTTCTGATGCTCGGGCCCTGTATCCTAAACAGACTTGTCCAATTTATCAGGGAACGCGTTTCTACTATTCAGACCTTGGTATTGACCCAACAATACCAACGACTCAACCAGGTGGAAATGGAGCCACATCCCTATTCTTCCCCATGAATGGAGGATTCCATTCCCTGAGATAAGAAAATGGGGGAATGAAGGGCCCCAGCATACTTGCTTAGCCTAACGCCATTTTTGAGCAAGGCCTGAAAAGTAACTAAAGGTCAGAAAAACAACTTGTACCCTGGATAAGAGCCAAGTCAGCAGGCGTGTCGAGCTCGGGGAAAAACCACGAGCTGTCCTGAGTTTGAACCTGGCCTCATACGAATCGTCCAATCAGAACCCTGTAAACTATGCTTCCTGCTTCTGTACCCGCCCTTCTGCTGCCCAACCCTATAAAAACCCTCCACTCCAGCCCGTCGGCGCGCCAGTCTCTTCAGCCTCTGGAGGGACTGTATCGCCCCGGGTACCCATTTCCTGAATAAAGCCTCTTGCTGTTTGCATCTGACTTGTGGTCTCGGTGTGATCTCTGGGCGAGGGTCTCTCCAGAGGGAAGACTCCAGACGGGGGTCTTTCAGCGGTACTGGAAAGTACTCTGCATGTCTACAAACCCTGCAGTCTACCACAGTTCACTGCCTGAAAGATACCCTGTGCAAGAGTGGAACAAACATGAGAGTCCCCCCACTATCTCACTGGATTTCAGGCCCATCCCACAAGATGGAACCCATGACTGACACGGCGGGGGTGGTGACTAGATAGGCTATGGACCCTGGGAAAATCCAAATACTACTATTCTGCTAAAGAAGCACAGCAATAAGATGACTCCTAATGACATTCTCCTATACCTGTAGGTCAGTTCCCTTGCTCAGCCATCATCAGAGAAGGTGATCATCCCTCTTGCAAGAGATGGGAACTAATACAGAGACCCATGACAGGACAATGTACAGACAAAGAGTGACAGACTTTGGAAACACTTTTGGAACATCTTAAATGGGATGCCTTCATCAACTCTCCCCTCCATCAGGACTCAGGGAGCTATGTAGAATAGGAGGTGGAGATGCGGGGTGGCTTGGGAAAAAGGGATGGGGGTGGGTGGGAGGAGGGAGGAGGGGGGATCTGTGGATAGTATGTGGAGTGAGTAGAAAATTTCTTAATAAAGAAAAATGAAAAAAAAAAAAGAAAAAATAGAAGGTGGAAAGATTCCAAGAGCCAGGTGGGATAAAGTGACACCAAGGAAACAGTGTTAGACACAACAGGACTGACCCACACACAAACTCAGAGACAGTGGTAGCATGCACAGGGCCTGCACAGGCTCAAGCCAGACGGGTCCCAGCGTTAAGGTGAGCAAGTGGACATGAGTTCCCATCCCTAACCAAGAAGCTATCTGCAGTTGACAACTGCTTACAAAGGCAAACTCTTTTCCTCAATCGAGTTTCACTGGGTATACAAACCACACTTAAGAGTAGGCTCCATGCCCAGCAGTAGATAGCCAACACAAAATGAATTTAACAGTATTTTTGTAGATTTTTTTGACCTCAATATTGTTCTATTTGGACAATTAAAAAAAAATCTTACTTATCTTTTAGTTGTATATTTTATGCTTTCTGACTCTTTTTATGGGTTTTGTTTTTGTGTTTCTGTTTGTGTTTCTTGTGCTTTTTCACTTTTTAAAAAATTGTTTATTTTTTATTTGCCTGTTTGTCTTCTAAAGAGAGAGAAAGAAAGAAGGGGTGGAGTTGGATGGGTGGGGAAGACCTGGGGGAGGGTAAACCATGATCAGAATATATTGTATGAATTTTCAATAAAAAGAAAATGCTATCATGAAACAGTACTTTTTATGCTAATTAAAAAGAAAGTATTTTTCATTTAAACCACCATTATATAGAATATACTTAATATTGTTCATGTATATTTCCTCTATACCTCAAACTAAGATATTTTAATTCGTTAAAAATTATTATATAATCTACCAATTTTGCTAAAATAACTTAAAGAAACAAGGTATTTTAATAAAAGGTCTAGAAGAGTCTAATATTTCACAAAAATCATGCAAAGCATTAAAAAATACATTAGTTCTCAATACATACGAGGAATCCCTACTTGTTGTTTTCTTATTGCTGGACCAATGTTCAGTTTCTTATCCTTATAATTAAGTTTTTCAGCCTAAAATAAAGGAAAAAGCCCATCACCATCATTTGTAAAATCATTTGACACCATGATTTGTAAAACCAGTGAAGAAAAACCGCTATAAAACAACAGACATTGTGTGACAGTTTTTCCTTTTTCTTTTTTTAAATACAAGATCTCATGAACCCCAGGCTGTCCTCAAATCTGATACATTATCATATGACTTTGAACTTGTGATCCTTTTGCCTCTAACTCTCAAGTGCTGCGATTACAGGCTTGTGCCACATTGCCTGGCTTATGTAGTATTGGGAATCAAGTATGCCTCAAAAGATGGTCTGGGTTCAAGTAACTATCTTTATCTTGGTTTTACTGCTATGAAGGTGATATAGTAACCATCATCATCAGTTACTGATTATGTATTTGCAACTTAGATATTCTCTAAAATTTATTTGCAATTTCCAAACCACTATTTGTAGTTATTTCAAGACTATCTGTGGACATGTACAGAAAATGTGAGTAGTCCAACACAAAAGAACCCAGTTAAGATCAAAGTGATGTTTTTCCTTCCTCTAGATATCATATTCTAATCAAGTGTCCTTTTTAGATATGCTTTTCACATTATGTGAAATAAATAAAATGGCTCACAGGTGCTAAAGTACCAGCTAATGTCCCTAAGCACATGGAGGTTGTCATATATTTTATGGAGAAATGTATTGTTATGCTGAATTCAGGTATTATAGTCCCATTGGCTATGAATACAATGTTAATGATTAACAATTATTAAATATGTTGTTTATTATGGCTTCGATATGAAGTGTCCACTCCCCTCCCAAAAAAGTTCATGTGTTGAATACTTTGTCTCAACTGATAGATTCAACCATAGGAGGTGATCAGATTATAAGGGATCGGATTTAACAGATTACTGCTGCTGGGTTAATAATCTAATACCATTATTGGGAGATGACTTCGATGGAGGAAGCAAGTCTTGGTATGAATATTCTTGAGAACTATAGCTCATCATAGATCTCTTCCTAAGTTAGTCTCTGCTTCTTGGACATTCACTGTCCTAGGACCCACAGTAACAGACTCAGCCAGCTATGGCTGAAGCCTATGACCCCATGAACTGAGACCATCTTTCCAGTCTCTCTCAGATCTTTGTGACAAGCAATAAAAAGTTTTGCTAACACAATTTCTTTAAATAGCAACACATGAAACCAGGTTCTATGTTGATGTACTGGTGGCAATATTGTGACTAAAGGTCTTTTGGAACCTTATCTTGTATTGTAACTAGGAACACCAGAAGTTCAGTATCCACTAATCCAGTTATATGGTGACTTCACAGAACAAAAGTGGATAAGAACTGACTGTGTATTATCTTATAACACATAATTTAACTATCTTTTTCTAAAAAGGTTAAATGTTATACTTGCCATAAGTTAAAAGATATCAAAATGAACTATAGGCTATAGACATTTTATTAAAGAGTGTTACTGGTTTATGTAGTTTTTCATAGGAAGGAAATAATACCAGGTAATCTTATTCTAGAAATCTACATTTGTAGTGTTTCTTAAGAATTATATAAAACCATTTACATATCACAGAGATACATTCTTAAATTACTAGTTTAAGTAAATAAAATATATTATAATTTAACAACTATCCTCATGTAATGACTTGGAATGTCTTGTTCTTCAGACTATTTCTTAGAGGCCAATGGCAATCTTAAGATTCCTATAAACACACACATGTACATTCATATATGTATATATACATATATGTAGATCACTGGTTTATCCTCTACCATTATATTATCATAAGAGATTAGTCCCAAAGAAAGAAGTTCCAAATCAGAAGTTAAATACAGTGAAAGATCTTACCTCTTGTAAGATTTTTTGTGCATCTTCTTGAGTTTCAAAAGTGATGAAACCATACCTAAGTAAATGCATTAAATTATTAACATTTTCTTAGAATATTACATTAAATTTTATTTTGCAGTTCTGGCGATTGAATCTAGGGTCTGTAAGTTTTTTTTAAACCACCGAACTATAAGCCTAAACCTGCAATAACATTTTTACTTTTTAAGTATTGCCACTGTAGGTATGCTGCATCAGCGTGGGAAACATAGATTAATACTGTCATCCTTGCTTTTCAAAGTGACAGGGACCGAGAGAATAAAGAAGTGAGGAATCTTCAAACAGTATTAGCGTTTTGATGCATTCATGTTCTGCCTTAAAGATTGGGATGCAACAGGTTTCAGAATAGGGCCATCATCTTTGGCATCTTTCTTTTTCTTTCCCCCACTCCACGCTGTGGATGAAACCCAAGGACTTGTGCATCAAGGCAGGTACTTTACCACAGAATACATTTTAGCCCTGTAATTTCCTTAAAAACAAGCAAATAAAAAACCCAACCAACCAACCAAACTTATAAAAATAACATGTTTGCCTTAGAGGAATCAAAGTAGAAAAATGTTAACAATAAAAGTTTCAATACAAATTTCTTATATTTGTATAGGTCTTTACAAATCCATCATTTAATTATTATTGTCACACATAAACTAGCAATATAACTATTATATTTCGCAAACAGCAGTAAAAATACAACCTAATTATTTTTTGTATTTGATTTTTACATGCAAATAACCCCAGCAATCAGGAAGCAGAAGCAAAAGAATTCTGAATTCCAGCTCAGACTGGGATATACAGCAAAACTCTTTTCTAAGGGTTAAAAAAAAAAAGAAAAGAAATAAGATACATGTAATGATGTATGTCATGCTAAACTATAGGAAAAATGAAATAAAGTACATAGCTAACATGTATGAGTCCTGTTTAGATATTAAATAATGCTAAACATCATGATTACTATTTTATAACTGATATTGTTTAATAGTATTCCTTCTTGTTTAATGTTTATTTTTGTGCTGGGGAAGAAAGGTCCTCACTCATTCTATGCAAGTGTTCTACTACCTGGCTACACCACTAACATCAAAGTAACTTTTTTTTTTAAAGAATAAAATTCTCTTATCTGTTAGTCCAAACATTAAATAATTATTTACAGTAATTTTTGGATAGAACACAGGATAGAATACAGCTTGCTTGAGTGTATGCTTTTAGTTTTCTGAAATGCCTTTACTCAACTATTTTTGGTCTTTTAATTGATTTTTAAACATAATAGGTTACACTGTGACATTTTCTTCTTTCGTTTTTCTAAGACAGGGATTCTCTGTGTAACAGTCCTCGTTGTCCTGGAACTCACTTTGTAGATCAGGCTGTCTCAAACTCACTGAGATCCACTTGTCTCTGCCTCTTGAGTGCTGGGATTAAAGGTGTGTGTTGTTGGTTGTTTTTTCATTCTTTTTACTCTTTGGGGGACCCACCACCCTGCTCCCAAATAAGTACACACGGAGGTTTATTCTTACTTACAAATGCCTGGCCTTAGCTTGGCTTGTTTCTTGCCAGCTTTCCTTAAATTATCCCGTCTACCTTTTGCCTCTGGGCTTTTACTTTTCTCTATTTTATATACCTTTCTTTCCTTTTTACTCCGTGGCTGGCTGTAGCTGGGGTCTGGCCCCTGGTGTCCTCCTCCTTTGCTTCTTGGTCTTTTCTCCCTAGATTTCTCCTCCTATTTATTCTCTTTGACTGCCAATCCTGCCTATTCTTTCTCCTGCCTTGCTATTGGACGTTCAACTCTCATTAGACTAATCAGGTGTTTTAGACAGGCAAAGTAACACAGCTTCAGAGTTAAACAAATGCAACATAAAAGATTGCAACACGTCTTTGGATCATTAAAACAAATGTTCCAGAGCATAAACAAATGTAACACATCTTATAATAATATTACACAACAGGTGTGTGCCACAACACCCAGCTCATTGTGACATCTTCATAAACTGCATTTAGTATCCTTTGGTCATATTGACTCCCCACGATCCTTTCTTGTGCTTCCTCATTCCTGCCAGTCCATTCCTTAAACAGTCTCCCTTCTGATATAGATAGTCATACACACATACTTGCACTTTGCATGAGGGCAAGCATTCAATATTATTTTTACACTCCATTAACTCTCTCATTTCCTCTTCCTTTCTCCCCTCTGGTTCCCTTCTCACTCTCATGTGTAAAGAACTCCAACTGAGCTAGTGGTGTCCTTTACACAAAATCTTGGCTTATGACTGTATCCTCAAGTATTTTTTCCTGTATTTTCATTTAGTGGTTTTAAAATTTCAAGTCTTTCATGAAGGGCCTCGAGCCATTTTGAATGGATTTTTGCATGGGGTGAGAATGATCTAGGTTCGTTTTCCTGTGTAAATACCTGGTTTCCAGAACCATTTGCCTTTTCTTCAGTCCATGTTTTGGGGATGTTTGCTGAAAATCAAGTGGCTTATTTCTGGGTCCTCTATTCCTCTGGTCTTTGTATCTGCTTTTGTGCCAGTACCAGGGTGCTTATTTTATGTTATCTATATATAAAGTCTAGGGCCCACACATGAGACCATATTTGTCTAAGACTTATTTAACTTGCTTAACATATCACCAGTCGCATCAATTTTCCTGCAAATCACATGGCTTCATTCTTCCTCATGGCTGTGTACATACATTTCTTTACCCACACCTCTGTTGTGGATACCCAGGTTGGCTCCATAACTTAGTAATGTGAATAGTGCTGCAGTAAGCACTACTATCTGACATACACTGACTTGGAGTCTCTTGGGTAAATACGCAGGAGCTGCATACCTTTGTCACATGATAGGCTCATCTTTATTTATTTGAAGAACTGCCATACTGACTTCCACCATGGCTGGACTTTGCTCACCAGCAGTAGATAAGGATTTCCTTCTGTCTGCATCATTGCTAGTATTTGTTTTATTGGTGACTACCATTCTGACTGGCATAAGATGGAATCTCAATGTAGTTTTTATTCATATTTTTCTGATGGTATGAGGTTAAATATTTCCCTAAACATTCATTGGCCAATTGTAATTTGTATTTTGAACACTGTCTTTTTATTTCACTAACTCATTTATAGACTGAATTGCTTTGTTTTGGGTGTTTAGTTTTTAATTTTTTGTATATTCTAGATAATAATCCCGTCTGACGTAAAGGTGGCATCTGTACAGATAGCTCATTCTGTAAGCTATCTTGTCACTCAATTGTTTCCTTTGCTGTGCAGAAGCTTCTGAATTTAATGAAATACCAGTTGTTAATTGTTGGTGCTATTTCCTGAGTGACTGGAGTCCTATTCAGAAAGTGCTTGCCTATGCCAATATCTTGAAATGTCTCCTTCTGTTAATATTAATTTCAGGTCCTACATTATTAAGACTTTTTAACATTTGGGGTCACACTTTTATTTTAATTTATGTGCATGGTGCCCAAAGACGACAGAAAAGGCACTAGTTACAGATGGCTGTGAGTTACCATATGTTGGAAATAGAATCTGAATCCTTTTTAAGAGCAGCCATGCTCTTACCTACTGAGCTCCCTCTTCAGTCTTAAGGAGTTGCATTTTTGTATGGGGTGAGAGATAGGGATCTAGTTTCATTCTTTCACATGTAGCTATCCAGATTTGCCAGTAACATTTGTTGACAAGGCTTATTTGCACCAATGCAAAGTTTTGTCTTTGCAAAAGATCAAGTGGCTGTAGCTAAGTTGGTTTATTTCTGGATCCGTTATTTTTAATTTTTTTTTAAATTATTATTTATTTTAAAAATTACATTTACTTTATGTGTATGAGTGTTTTGCTTGCATGAATCTATGTGCATGGTGCCCACAAAAGCCAGAGGGTGTCAGATCCCTAGAGCTGGAGTTCCAGGTGACTGTGATTCTGACATGGGTTCTAGGAACTGAACCTGGAGTCCTCTGAGAGCAAGTGCTCTCACTGAGCCATCTCTCCAGCCCCCTTCTCTCTCTCTTATAAACCAGTCGAGGTTTTTGTTGTTTATTTTTGTACCTCATTGTTGCTGTTACATACTGGTTTATTTTTGAAAAATATTGTCTATGTTGTGTTGTCTGCAAATTTCTTTTTTTGTTTTCTAATTTGGTGGAATATAAGCTTTAAAATATGCTCTAATAATTTTCTGAATTTCATTGGCATCTGTTGCAATCTCTTCCTTCTTAATTTCTAATTTTGTTAATTTGGGTCTTCTCTTTTTTGGCTAGTCTGGCTAAGTAATTATGGATCTTGTTTATCTTTCCAAAGTATTCTGTTAAATTGGTTCTTTTTTTTCCCCATTTCCACTTTATTAATTTCTATGCTGATCATGATTCTTGGCTTCTACTAACTTTTTTGGTTTGTTCTTATTCTTTTCTATAGCTACAAGGGGGACTATTATTTATCTGAAATCTGATTCTAAATGTTCATATTTTCAGCTATGAATATCCCTCTATGAAGAATGCCTTCATTCTATTTCATGCATTTATGTGTCATTTCACATTTATTAATTTCTTGAAATTTATAAATTTCCTTAATTTTCCGATGATGCAATCATTATTCTATAAAATGCTATGTCTCTATGAGTTCATAATGCTCTAAAGTTTCTCTTACTGTTTGTTTATAGCTTTATTTTAACTGTGCTCAGGATACAAAAACATTTCAGTTTTCTTATACTTGGTAAGTCTTGCTTTGTATCCTATTTATGATATATTTTAGAGAGAGTTTTCTGGGCCAATTTGAACAATGTGTATTCTGCAGTGTTTCAGGGGAATTTCTGTAGATGTCTGTTAGGTTGATTTGATCTATGATGTCATTTAACTCACATGTTCCTTACTATTTTCTGCTAGAATGATTTTTTTCTGCTGAGACTAGAGTACTGAAATGACCCATTATTATCGTGTTAGGGTTAGTCTGTGTCTTTATATACCAGTAGTTCCTGTTTTATGAAATTAAGTGCATCAGTGTTTGAGGCATGTATATTTAGAACATTTTCTTTTGATGAATTGTCT